TTTCATAAATGCTACTTAAGCAAATATACTATGAATAATATTGAACCCTTGGATTGTTCCATCAACCCTTGGGAATTGATGTTGATCACTTTGGGGGACCGAGGTCTAATCTCTTTTCCCAATCTAGAAAGATCATAAATCTCCCAGAACAATACTTTTCCAACTTGCCTTGTGTATAAAATACCACTTTTCAGATACACGTTTTTTGTTATTTCAGGTTCCATTTGTGCAGAATTCTTATAATGCAGAGAATAGATATGAACGTACAAACTGGACTTTTATTAACTTTTGAAAATGAGTATTTCTCAAAATGGTATATATGTACAGGGGTATCAATATATATTGATGTGTATTTGTTGATGGAAGATAGCAAATCTGATTTTTTATTGATACTGCCTTAAATGTTTTCATGATTATGAATCTTACAATCTTATACAAAGAAATAGATTGTACTGTCAATGTTACTGCTTTGAGCATGGTAACAAAGACTTTGGATTTAATCTGGAAGAATGATTGAGAATATAACAGTGGGAATGCAGTATCTATCTGCAATTCACATGGGTACATTAATGAATCACAGACAGGTCTTATATTTCTCCTGCTTCATGTTCTGAAGTATTTTGAATTGAATCCAAAGTATTGTGCAGACCCTAATTTTGTTAACAGGTAGTCCTCATAATTGAGCCTAAATTACAGTGGTAAGTCATGCCAGTCATTAAACAGGCCATCATGTGACTGATCTGATTTTATGACTTTTTTCTGCCAGCTGTTAAGTGAATCACCATGTTATGCAAATCTATGGTCATTAAATGAATCTATTATCCATAGTGGACAGTTTTTGTTGGAAACCTGAAGTAAATGCCACTTTTTGGTAAAAATAAAAATCATAAAAATGCGATTATGTGACCATGGGATGCCACAAACGGCCATACATGCAGGATGGTTTCTGAGTGGCCAAAATAGGATTAGGTGACTCCGAGGGCTGGCTGTCAGAACATTGAATCCAGGTCGTTAGTTGGAACTTTGAAAAGTTGCTAAGTGACCAGTTATAAATCAAAGACTATCTGTACTTACTAAAATGATATACTTACTTTTCTCCAAGAGTTCAGGGTGATTTATATGGATATTTCCTTTCATTTTATCCCCAGAGCAGCAATTGTCTGATCTGAGAAGTGACTGCTCCAAAATTACCCAATGAATTTTTATGACTTGAGCATAGGTCTCCCCAATCTTAGTCCAGCACCTTAACCCCTACACCACATTGGCTCTTATCAAGGGAGGGAAGAATGGGGAATTGGTTTAGTAGTGCTAGATAATATTTTGAAAAAACAGGGAATAATATCCATTATAGGAGCATTCTGCAGAAAAAGATGGACTGTGTTAATACCATCACAAAGGTGTATCCTTGACTTAACAACCAAGGTTTGTCTTTACTGGAGTAGGGCGGTACAGTAATCAGAATCTTTAAAAAAAAACCCACAGTGTAAATCATATCATGAATAGGTTGGCTGTGTTTTGTATCTACACTTAGTCAATGTAACTGTATAGCAAGGATGCTAAATCATAGTGTGAACATTATATTATTGGTTTTGATGGCCTGTTAAAAGAAAAGTGGTGAAGATACTTTGTGTTTGACTTGCTTATTTATTTGTTTATGCACATTTATATTCTGTACCAAGATGCCTTTAAAGAGAAAAAAACTCAGGTCAACTGAAAGAAATAGCAGGAAGCAAAGGAAAGCCATCAGTTTCAATTTTAAGAAGAAGATCATCAAAGTTTATAATGCCAGGAAGAAGGTGAATACTATAGCATGAGAAGAAAACTGGCCCATTCCACCATCCCACTATTGGAAGATAAGAAAAGGATCAGAGAGATGATAAAAGGATCACTAAGAATGAAAGAAGTTATAATAAAAGAGTGAAAAGGCCTCATTCACAAACAGAAAAACTCATTATACTTTGAATCAAAGATCAGATACAAAAAGGATGCCGATTAGCCATCTTATCATTCAGGCTAAGGCACATCAAACATTCATTGCCAGCCATGGTTGTTTTATGTGGTTTCAGTGAAGTTTTAATTACCACAAGTCATGCAGAAGAGATGAAGCTACAAGCACTGATGAAGAAGCTGCCAAATATTTTCTGGATGATCTCGATGATAACATAGCAGAAGGGAACTATTTTCCTGAACAGATGTTCCATATGGGTGAAACTGAAGTATACTGGAAGAAAATGGCAGAGCAGACCTATATATGCAAAGAGGCCAAAGCAATGTCCAGATGTAAAGCAATTAAGGATAGAGTAGCCTTTTTGTTAGGCAGAAATGTCACCAGATTCAAGCTGAAGTATTTCTGATCAAGAAATCATATAACTCCCATTGTTGCTGCCTGTCGATCTAGTTGGAAAGTAGTTGATGCGTGTCCCTTTCAAGGATTAGTTTATAAATTGCTTCATAGAACAAATAAAAGAATATTGCTTGCAAAAGAAAATTCTCTTTGAAATTCTGTTCCTTGACAATGCACCTGGGCATCCCCCAAATCTTGATGATCTCTACTCAGATATATATGTAGTTCTCGACCTACAACAGTTCATTCAAAGTTACAACAGCACTGAAAAATGTGACTTATGACTGTTTTTCACAGGTATGACCTCTGAAGCATCACCATGAACTTGTGCTCAAGATTGAGATGCTTGGCAACTCTCCTATTTATAACCTTTGCTGTGTCCCAGGGTCATGTGATCATCTTTTGTGACTTTCTGACAAAGTGGAGAAGCCAATTTCACTTAACATCCAGGTTACAAACTTATCAACTGCAGTGATTCACTTAACAATGGTGGCAAGAAAAGTTGTAAAGTGGGGCAAAACTCACTTAACAACAGAAATGTTAGGCTCAATTGTGGTCATAAGGTGGGGACTACCTGTAGTTTACTCAAAAACATAATCCCTCTCCTACAACCTGTGAATCGGAGCCATCCTGATATTCCAGGCATACTATATATATGTGTGTAATGTTTGCCAAAGCCACAGTCGCAATGGAAGCTGATAAGATAGCACTGCATGAATTTTGGAAAGGCTATGCTATCCTCCATCGTAAGAGAAATGTCAAAGTGGCACGACAGGATGTTAATGTGAAATGCATGTAAAGTATTTGGCTATAATGTTTTAAAACATTTCTTATAAATAATTTTGAAAGATTGGACCCAAATGAAAATGTTGACTTTCATAAAATTCTTTGATTTAGAGCCTGATACTGAAGATGTGAAAAAAATAGTAGCCAACACTGAGGGAAAGCTTTCAAATAAAGGTTTAGTTGAATTGAAGGAAGAATTGGAAGCACAAAGGATTGTGGAAGAAAGGAAGAAGAGGAATCCAAGATTGAATGGTATTTTCTCAGACATCAACAAAACTATCAGAATTGGAAAGTATGGATCCAAATTTAGAATGTTTTGGAAAAGTATATCGGGAAATGCATGAAATCTCTAAGAATTACCATGACATATATAAAGGAAAAAAACGCCAACGAAGCTTAAGAAAGTTACTCCTTCCTCAACTTTCCTTCCCATCACCTTCCCCATCCACAGGAATAGAAGACCCAGCCAATCATCAGCCATCAGCCACCATACCAATGTATCTATTTTTTCCAAGAACAAAGAAAAAGATGAAACTTTCAAAGAATTTATAGGTAATTTGAAGTTTGCTGGTACTGTAATTGTAAATTATTATGTCTAATTTTGTACTTACATAATAAACCAACTTTTCAAACACTGAGTTTCCATTTAATCTTTTTGTTTTTTATTTAGGCTGCTTGTTAAAAATAATGCATAGAGCAGTGGTGGCGAACCTATGGCACGGGTGCCAGGGGCGGCACTCAGAGCCCTCTCTGTGGGCACGCGCACCGTCGCCCCAGTCCTAGGCCTTCAGCTGGGTTTTATAAAACCTTTTTGCTTTAGGCCTCCGCCGCCGTGTGCAAAAAAAAAAAGGTTCAATCAATCAGTCAATTTCAACTTCTCCCGGGAAAAAAAAAGATCTTGCAAAGTTGGAATTGATTGATTGAACTTTTTAGTCCCACCCAGTCTGCCGTTACCACCCCAGCCACGCCCAGCCAATGGGCCACACCCACCCGGCACCTGACGATGCATAAGTGGGTTTTGGGTTGCAGTTTGGGCACTCGGTCTCTAAAAGGTTCGCCATCACTGGCATAGAGTATTAAATCAAAGCTTAAACGATATAACTTTTAAATTGTCACAATGACATGCAAAGTCTGAAAGGTAATTATTATTTCAGTGTATTTTTAGGGCAAAAATTGATTAGAACTGCTTCATTAAGGATAAAAAAAATGAACATGGAATGCTGAAGTAAAGTTGTGAGCTCAGTTGCGATCATGCCTAGGCTATCATGATATTCACTTAGCTGCCATTTCACTCTAAAGACCTAATATTCAGAATGAACCTTGGTTGCTAAGTAAGAAATGAGTGTAACATGAATTTCTTAACAAATCTAATTTTTTAGTGGAGTTTTTTTTAACACAAAATCACTTTGACTGTTCAGTGGTTGCTTTCAGCCAGGCTTTCTTTCAGAAAGATCCATAGTCTTAGAAGAATAAGAAGATGGGAGAACAGCAAAGAGAATAAAGTAGGGGGGAAAACTTAAATTTTTCATCACCTTTCCTTTGTGCCATAATTGGTAGGCATGGAATTGCCTATCTTATACTGAATGGTAATCCTTTGTTCCAAATATCCAGTCAGAAAAATGGGGAATGATTCGGAAAACAAGTGGCTCAACTGGTAATTGTCCCTGCTCCAGTAAATTTATTGGGTGACTTAAGATTTGCATTAATAAACCATAGCTCCTCTCCCAAATCATCTTCTGTAATGTGATTCTCACAGATTTTTTTCCTCTGTGTGATTTTCTTTGTCTTACAGGAGGGTAAATAATTTCCTTCTATGTCAGGTATAATTTTGACTCACAGCACAGTTTTTTCTTTTCTGTTTGTAGCAAAAATGGCTCAAGCAGCAATGGCAGCAGCATCCAGCCATGATGAGGATTCATCTGAAAGCAGAATGGTGGTTACCTTTCTCATGTCAGCCCTTGAATCAATGGTAAGATACAATATGAACCTGCTGTATGTGACTTCTATCACAGGGCTTATATCTCCAGGGACTTTTATGTATGTTCATCTGTTTCTCTTTAATCATCGGTTTATTTGCAAAAATGACTAGGAATAGTCGACAGTCTAGACCATTGTTTCCTAACATTGCATCAGAGTATAGTGGAGGGAGAAATAGGAAGCAGAGTTACTTATTTGACTCAGAACAGAAACCAACAGTATTTGACTTTGACTTTTCCTGTATAGAACCTTTTTCATTCCAATTGGATGTGGTTTGAAAAACAAAAATGTTCAGCTACAAGAAACAAAAGAAAAACATTTCCCTTCTCATCCTTCTTGACATCTTGAATGAAAGTCACTTCTTACATGCTTTTACTAGTGTGCTTTCATAATCTCTCAAATTTGGCAGTGAAAATATAAGATTTGGGAGGTTTACTTAGTGCCTTTACTTAAAGACATGTTGTTTCTGCTACGTAGGCATGTGAATATGAATAATCAATCCTTATCAGGACCCTCATATAACCAGTCTAATGTTTGAAAAGGACTTTGAATCTTCCAGAATGCTTCCCATTGTGCCGCATGTGTCTTTGCTAGAGATGCGGCAGGTGATTAGGCTCCTTCATTTGGTTTGTAGATTATCAGTCTGCACCACTGATTAAGCGAAAGCCCTTAGAAATTGTATAGGTAGTCCTCGAGTTACAAGTGTAATGGAGCCTGCCCATCCCACTCGTAAATAGAAAACTCGTAGAGTGAATCACTCTCTTCCTCGTTAAAACGCACATGGCTCATTAAGTAAATATGAGGTATCTCAGGATGGGGAAGGCCATGGAGGGCCTAGTGATGGGACAGGCCCCCAAGCCTCCCCAATCCACTAAGACACCTCATGCTTCCCCCTCCCTTCCCGCCGCTCAGGACTCACCTGGAAAAGGTCTGTCTCCTCGATCTGAGGCCAGGGGATGCGTCCACAGCCTGGAAAAGACCTCCGGAGCCCAGACCCATGGCCGCGGAGCGATTTCGCGCCCCCCCAGTGGCCCAATCCAGGCTCCAGAGGCCTTTTCCAAGCCTCCGGAACCTGGATCCATGGCCGCGGAGTGATTTTGTGGCCCCCAGCGGCCTGATCTGGGCTCTGGAGGCATGGAAAAGGAATGTTGCAGAGCCAGTGCAAGGACGAACGACTGCTGTGGTGCTGCAATACTTGTAATTTCGGGAGTTGCTTGTAAGCACTAGGGGGCGCTCATCACGTAACTTTGAACAAGTGTTAAATAAAAGCTCGTAACTCGGGGATTACCTGTACTTGAATTTCTAATACCCTTGGAAGTGGCTAAATTTAATTTTCAAATTTCAGTTTAAGATCTGCCATTATTAATGCCTATAACATTATTTCAGTAAAATAGGCTATTTTTTTATTTCACTATTATATGCTGCCGAAGATCACATTTTTTTTGAGATGGTGGGCATATAAATATGGTAAATAAATATTAATGATGCAGTTCTACCTTTTGCTATATTATTGATATTAAGAAACCAATAAAAGTGAATAAAGAGGAATACTGTGTAAATCTGATTTAGTACTTTTGCTATATTATTGATATTAAGAAACCAATAAAAGTGAATAAAGAGGAATACTGTGTAAATCTGATTTAGTACTTACAGCAATACTGTGAATAATCATATTCTTTTATTGCCAGAACACTTTCATGTTGTTTGTATAACTCGCAGTTTGTGAAAGTTTTCTTCTGTGAAAAGGTTTCATCTTTGCAGAATAGGCTATAGCTGTGGTTTTAAAAAATAAAGCAGTGCCAGAGAGAAAAAAAATATTAAAAGAGAGTATAATACATGTTCATATTAAACTTTAGATCCTGCTGTTACAGTTCTTTTATTTCCATAGTGCAAAGAGCTTGCCAAGTCTAAGGCAGAAGTTGCCTGCATTGCTGTGTATGAAACAGATGTATTTGTGGTGGGAACTGAGAGAGGAAGAGCCTACGTCAATACGAGAAAAGATTTTCAGAAGGATTTTGTGAAGTACTGTAAGTCTGAATCAGAAGTATATTGTTCACAGACTTCTTAACTTTACTCGTGCAGTTGATTAGGATCTGCACATAAACATTTTTGCTCACGTAGCATTCCTTTTATGTCTAGTAATACTGTAAATAAATAGATGGGCTATTTTGAGAACATTCGTGTAAATTTTGTGCCCATTTTCTGTAGCAGAAGGGAACAGACTTATGTATTTGGTAGCATTATACTCCCCCCCCCCAACAGAAAGTAGTGCATTATAATATGTCTTATTGTAATCGCAAACTGTGGTGCTGAGTCTTGAGAGGATTGTAGCCAGAATGGAACCAGTGAGGAATGTAGGAAATAATTGACATGCTTAGATTATGGATTATTAAGGACATTGGAAAAATGTCCAGTTAATGGATTTTCAGAAACAGAATATTGATATCTTTTCTCTAAGAAATGAATCCCTCCAAAACTTCTGAAAATTATATATTAAAAATTAGTCACACATTAGATATATAATAATAATTTACAGAAGTTCATCAAACCCATAATGCAAGTAGCGTGTCCAAATAATGCATTTTCCGCAAGCAACTGTATTCCTAGACACATAATTCAACAATGCTGGTATTGCAGGCTAACTCTGCTTTCCCACTGCCAGGAGTTTGATCCTGACCGGCTCAAGATTGACTCAGCTTTCCATACTTCCGAGGTCAATAAAATGAAGACCCAGATTGTTTGGGGGCAATATGCTAACTCTGTAAACCACCTAGAGAGGGCTGTAAAGCACTATGGAACAGTATATAACTCTAAGTACTATTGGTATTATTGTGGCAAGATGATGCGAACACAAGAAGTGGGTGTCTGAGAAAGGTCTTAATATATGGATAGAATTGTGATTTACATTAGTAGGTTTATGGACAGTGTCAGATTTCATAATTTCTTCCTAGGTATTAATGAAGAGGCAAAAGCTATAGAATTGCAGAAGACAAAATCATCATCTCTTGATAACAAGATGACTCTGGATATTGTAGAAATGGAAGCTCTCAGGAAGTCTGTGGAGGATTATTTCTGTATTTGCTACGGTAAATATTTAATTTTAAATGCAAATTGCTGTTCAGAGCAGAACTGTGATGTTTCTAATTCTAGATTTAAATGCAGTTGATTTTCATTTAAGGAAGGCAGTTAAACCATCAAGATAGAAGGCATGATTTAAATTCTAATTAAGTGATGAATGTGAGTTGCTGTCCGTTTCATGGCATGGGAATTAACTAATTAGGTATATATAGCCTGCTTTAGTCCTTTAAGAACTATACAGTAAAAGCATTTTATAAATTCCTATATAAATAAAGTACACATTGTACATAAAAGTTAACCTCATTATAACTAATTCCATAATGAATTAGTTCCTGAGCATGCTTTTTATTTTATTCTTTCCACATCAGCAGAATGTTGGAAAGAACTTAGGTAAAAAAACCTTCGGTCTCTGCCTTGATTTCAGCAGGATAACTGTATGAAAAAAAAACGAGCAAATTTGATGTGATGAAAAACACTGAATTTGATTGTTCCAGTCAAAATCTCCCACCCGCTCACAAAAACAAAAGATGCAATTTGAGGAGAGAGCAGAACCCCCCCCCCAAATCCTTACACACTAACCTTGGTTAGAACCATACATGTATGTAATATATGCAGATATGCTGAGTTTCTGCAGAGAAAATGTGCTTACAATCTGTCTATGCACAGATTCAACTGGTACTCCCTCCTAAAAACCCCTGCTGCTCTATTAATCCTTTTTTTATTTTTACTGTTAGCATTTTTTCCTACAAGAAACCTCTCGAAGCCTCTTTAGGGCTCCAAACTATTTTTGGAAATTAATTAATTATTGACTGACTGGCATACAGTATTTATCTGCCTTATTCCAAAATTACAAATTTATAACTATTCCCCCCCTTAGATCAAATGTAGAGGATAAATGCTTTCACAAAGGATAACTAAGGGCCAAAGCTCACTAAAACAATAAAGCCTTGGAATGCTTATAGACTATTAACCACATAGAGCAGTGGTTCTCAACCTGTGGGTCGGGACCCCATTTGGGGTCGATTGACCATTTCATGGGGGTCGCCAAGCAAGGCTGTCCGCCATTTTTTTGTCCGCCATTTTTTCCCCTTTTCCGGCGGGTGCCTTACCTCCCTTGGGCTGGGCCAGCTGGTGGTCGGCCTGCTCCGTCTCTGCCGCTTGCCAGCTACGCCTCGGCCGGCGCAGGGGGCAGAACCACGCATGTGCGGCGCTCCCGGGCAGGGAAAGTCCTCGACTTACGACCGGTTGGGTAGTCCTCGACTCACGACCGGTTTAGTCCTCGACTTACGACCGGTTTAGTCCTCGACTTACGACCGGTTGGGGTCGCGGCATTAAAAAGGTTGAGAATCACTGACATAGAGGCTAAATGTACCTTTGAGGGGAGAGTTTAATAATATGGGAGATGCCACAGAGAAGGCCTATCATCATAATAAATAAAGATGATGCTAGAGGGTGGTGCTTTCTTTTGAAATAAATCAGCTTCTTATTTTTAAAATTAAAAAAACCATCATTTTAAAAAAGAAAACAATTCTGTGAGGATCATTAGTTACGTTTATAGTACCAGATCAAGAGAACTGCACTGGAGACCTGAGGACTAATGAATAGTTAAACTATTTCATCTACATGAAATTAATGGTGGATTTCTATTTCAAAAAAGTTCATGCATCAAAGAAAAGGACACGTTTGCCATTGTTTTGTTGTTTTACAAACAAAAATGTTACCCCATTGGTAAAGATTGATTTTCTCCTATCTAGGTAAAGCTTTAGGTAAATCAACAGTAGTTCCTGTGCCATATGATAAGATTCAGAGGGATCCGTCTGCTGTGGTAGTACATGGGCTTCCAGAAGGACTTGCTTTCAAGCATCCCTCCAGCTATGATGCCACAACACTGAAGTGGATTTTGGAGAACAAATCTGGGATCTCATTTGTCATCAAAAGGTACAAACTTAATTTCGTTTTCTATTTCCCGAGATACTTGGAGCTTGCAGCAAAATGTTCTTAAATCACTTTGCATAATAAAGTCTAAATAAAGGTTAATAAGTGATTTAACTTTCTAGCAGGACAGCAGTTCCCATGTAGAAATAGACTTCCTTGTAAACCTATACAGATTCCTGGAGAGCAACCCTTCCCAGGAAGAACATATTCTTTCTAGTTCAAAAGACCAAATATGGGAACGGATTGGATCCTTATGTGAGGAGGACAGATCATTATGACTACATATTTTTTTCTCTTCAGGTAATTCAATAGCAGTTGGAAACTTCCAAGAAATCAATTATCCTGGCATTGGAAAAGAGGAATATTTTAGTAAAGAACAATGGTTTCATTTAAATTAGAACTGCAAAGCTTTAAATTAATTTGTAATAGTATGGAAATTTCCTTTCCAAAACGGAGAGAAATTATACCGTTCAGCTGTGAATCAGACATATTTATTTATGATACTATTTCCATCATTCCTTCATCTTCCTTCTGCAGTCCAAAATGAACCTTGTAATATAGATGGTTGTAGGAAATAGGGAGAAAATATTGAAGATATGAACTCCCTAATACTATTATAATGTTTATAAATGGATCTTGTAGGATAATAGAATTTGTTCTTTCTTTATATAGGCCTTTCCTTGAGCCAAAGAAACATTTAGGTGAGTTTTAACTTGATCTAAGTAAAAAAATAAATTTTCATTTTCTATCTAGTAGTAATTATATTTCTGTAGTTTTTTTCAACATAACTTGATGCCTGAAAAGAAGTGTACAATATTGAAAGTTCTAATTTTTTCAACCTTTTGTGAGTCCAGAATAATTTTCTTGGTTACCCCCCCTCCCCCAGACATCTCATGCATGAATTTATTTTTGCTACTCTCTTACAGTAAAGCAATCCTATTGTTGAGAAGCTATATGTTGTCTCAGATACTGCAGACATTAAACTGTATGGCTGTGGAAAGCCTGGGTGGAGGGGGAGAAGGACTTTGTGCATACGCATTTAACAAAGCACCTCTTTTCAAGTAATTAAAGAAGTTGTATCATTTGCAAAGTTAGCCTGGCTGTTTCACAAGTTATTCCCAATGCTATCTGTATATACAGATGTATATGCATTTGTATATATGCACCGAAGACAAATTCCTTGTGTGTCCAATCACACTTGGCCAATAAAGAATATTCATATTCCTATATGTATGTGCATGCTGTATCGCTTCTGAAGTAGCTGCTGAACCCTGAAAATGACATAATTTTTTTAAAAAGTGGTTTTTATACACATTGCAAGACATCTCTTTCTTAGATTTTCCAATTGTTTATTCATATTGAAAGAATGTATGCTATCAGGATTGACAGTAGATGATAATTTGGTAGGCATAGAGCCTTGAATAACATTGCCATGACACAGTCTTCATCATTGGAATTTTTTTTTGGGGGGGGGAATACAAAATTCTCCTAACAAAGTTCTGAATGAATTTACATAGAGGATAAAAGTGGATAGCCCAGATAATTTTTTTAACACAATCAAGGGCTATCAATGCTATAGTTCTATACAGTATATAACAGAGGAAAAATATGAGTTTTCCTTCATCAACTGTATTATTTTACATTCCCATATATATTCTATATTCATTTTTTTCAGGCCGTCTTTCAGACTCATCACATATGGTGACATCTCCAGGTGTAAGGTATAAATCATTTTGGTGGTTTTTTTGGGGGAGAGGGTGTGTTTTTTTCCTACAGATTTTCTATAAACAGTACAATAGTACTTTTTTCAGTGGCAAAGCATAAAGTGACAATATTAAGTGTTTATCTTCTGTCTTTCAGCTGTAATTCACAAGTCTGTTGATGACAGATTTGTAAGATTATCATAACAAACCTAACACTAACATTTTAATTTTAGGGTTTAAAATTAAGGTTTGAATTTAATGCCAGAATACCTACAACTGGCTTATGCTTATCATCTAATGAGGACTTGGGATTGAGTTGCACATCAGATGCAATTGTCTAAAAGTTTGCTATAACTATTTTAAGGCCCTTTTAAAGCCTTCTAAACATAGGAAGTCTGGAAGGAATATTTCTCTTAGCATCCTGGAGAACCAGTTAGCCTAGTGAGAGCTCATTTAATTGAATCAATGACAAAATAAATTCATATGATATATTATACTCACTGAGAATTACCTATTCTCTGTTTGTCTAGTTGCCCTTCCATTCAGGTGAAGACTGAGCCCAGTGAAGATTCTGGTACGCATTTCTGTTTCTTTTGAAAATGCTAATTTCTTGAACTTAAAAGGATATTGTTCACCGCAGTGTGTGAATTGACAACAATCTGTGTTCATAAGAGCAGAAGTTCAAATATCTGTGTTGTCAAAATTCTGTGAAGAATATTTCCCCCCAATATTTCCTTCAAATTTATTGTCAGGTGCATTTTCCTAATATACGTGTTTTATTTGAGTTTCTCAAAAATATATGCATTTTTAATATGAAGCAGCCATTAATTTTTTTAATCATTTCCAAACTGCTACTAATGGGTTTCTTGGCCTAGTCAGGGTGCATGACTTATATTGTAATTAATGGATCTTGAAAATGCCTCTTTGCTAGGAATTTACTTTAATACAAGGTTTGGTCCTAACCTTTCAGAATTATAAGAAATATTTACACATGGGAAATTGAGGCCTCTTCAGGTCCTGCATTTCATTGCCACTGTCATTTGAGGAAAGAGCATCCATAAAAATTATGGCCATTGCTAAAATACTGATTTGCAAATGTGATTTTTTTTTAAAAAAAAAACCCTTCCTGGGCAAATATCTCTTTTCTAGTCACGGGTTGACTGGACACACATGATCTTTTCATAAAATAGTACATGCTTTTTGGATCTTTATTCTGTTGTAATTTTTTTAAAAAAGCTTAAGTAAAAACAAAATATTTGACTGTAAAAATAAGAAATAGAAAAATATGTTCCTTTTCAAATCTTGGAGTCTTTTATACACTGCACTACAGACCAACAAACATTATTTAAATGGTAATAGTTCATTTGTAAGACACGCAGTAATAGGAAAACTTAGTGAAGAAAAAAATGTTTAATAATATTTAATACAATGACTAGCAATCTTACCCATTGCAATATGTAAGAAATGTAGTACTGGCTGTGGTTAAGTGGTTTAATTTAGGAAAATCTTGAGCTTTCATTGGTTTGTATAATTTCTGATACTCATAACTAGTGATTTCTACTAACCCATCCTTAGATACATGTGGTTTATCTGCAGCAGGTGTTGGCAAATGTCAAATGGGTATTTTACAGATTGTTTCTATCCATGCTTCTTACTTGGATTGAAATAAATACATATTTTGTTTTTGGTTGATTTTAGAAATGGAGTGATAGGCTGGATGGGGTTTGATCTGATAATTGTCAAGAAGAAAAAACATACAATTTTCTGGCAAGGTAGATTAATGGAGTTATAATGGGGATTAATGCACTGTTGGAAAACCTGAAGATCAGGTTAGGGACAGTTCATCATGGAGAATATCTATGTGGTTGCTAAGAGTCAGCATTGACCTCATGGCACATAATCAGTTATTTTATAACATTGACATTGATGAGTGTCCATTTGTTGCATAAACTTGGGATTTAACATGTTAATTGCAGTTAACTCAGACTGTGTTGATTTTCTTGATGCATATGAAACACCAAAGGGTGAGCATTGATTTAGATTCCTAATTACCCATGTAAATGGAATATTAATTGTTTCTATTTCAGGACTTGAGATGGTAACAGTTAAAGAAGAATCAGAAGACCCTGAATATTATCAGTTTAATATTCCAGGTAACAGTGAATGTTAATCTTTTTTTATACAATCTGAAATCTTAAGTGGTAAATTATGTGGGTAGAAAAACTGAATGAAGGACAATGTAGTTGGAAAACAACATAGGGTTTTGGTTCTAGTATAATCATATAGTATTTAAAGCAGAACTTGCTTTTGGTTTAAGTGACCCTTGCATGGTTCCTGCTCATTTCTATGCTGCATTTGCTCCCTGTGCACCATTTTCTGTGGCTCCCCCCCATTTCTTAAAACTTGAGAGGTATTTGTGGGTGTTTTAAATAAATTACATCACTTAAAGTTAAATATAATAACTATCCCGTCGATAGTCAAACTTGCTGCCAAATACCAAGTATTACAATTGTGTAGTTTTGGAGGGAAGAACAGAAGGATAGTCTGCATGCGCTAATTCCATATGAAAATTTTGTATATCTCAACACTTTATTGATTCTTATTAATGATAGCTATTAAAAATTATGTGGGCTTGTGTACTTTATTTATTTAAAAGACACAGGGCCACTCATGTTATTGATCATAACTTTGGTGTGCTTACAAGCAGAAAAGTCGTAAAAACACCATAAAAAGTGCCAGCTCCTCCCCAAACAACACCCCACACATATATCAATAATAACTTTATCAGGCTCTATCCAATGCTTGACATAAGAGCCAGCTTTTCAAGGCTTTCTGGAAGGCTAGATGGATAGTAGCCTATCAAACTCCAGGAGGAAGAATGTTCCAATGTGTAGGAGTTGCTACCAAGAAGACACTTCTGAGGTCCAGCTAGACAGCAGAGGACCTGGAGCACCTTCACCTTATCTATCCTGGTGGAATAAGTACTTTGCTTAAAAAAATACAGGGATGATATGTAATACAAAATAAAAAGGACAACCACAGAAATTATTTAATAATCTTAAGTGTATTTAAATTGTTTTTTCCCCTTTCTCCTTGGAATATCCATTTGGAAGTGGCATCCTGATTGCAAGATGTATATACATGGGATTAGCATGGATTAGTTGACGTCTATTTTGGCATACAATTAAGGACTAGTCGAGTGTGAATTTGTAATGGGGATTTTGCAGTAGCTGTATACAAATTATTCTGAAAACCATTTCAAAGGACAGCATCATTCAAGTTGCCCTATCGGAGACATGGGCAGCATATAAATTTAATAAATAATTGTCGAATGATCCCAGCCTAATGTAGTTTCCTGGGGCTAGGGCTTAAAGGCACAGAATTGAATAACCTTTAGAAAGATAAGCAGATCTCAGTCTGATTGGTACTTGGGTGGGAGACCACCTTAGAGCCCTCTTTATCTCACACTAAACTTTACAATGGAAGATACGAGTTTTATATTATAAGGAAATGTAGTTTCATTTCTTCTTTCTGTAATTTACATTTATCTTCCAGGAGGCAATTTTAATGAAAAGCTAGTCACCTTCGGTATCTTTTGTCCTTTTCTCCTTTCCTCTTCTTCCCTTCCTCTGACCCAAATAAGAGTTTTATTGGTTTGTACTGCCCTTTAAAAAAAATAAAAAAAAATGACCCATTCTGTACAAGATGCTCTGCCAGGAGAAAAACATTGAGGATGGCGAATGCTAACTGCACAACTGTCCAATTGTGACCCGTCGCCTAGTGCTGGCATTGTAAAACATCACAGCAAGGTCGGTTTGCATCAGAATGCTGAAAATAGTGTGTATGAACTGACAACAGAAATGTTACAGAATGGAAGTGTTAAAGCATGGATATTTTTTACAGAACCGTATCGGGCTTCGTTTAAGCCAGTGGTTCTCAACCTGTGGGTCGGGACCCCATTTGGGGTCGATCGACCATTTCATGGGGGTCGCCAAGCAAGGCTGTCCGCCATTTTTTTTGTCCGCCATTTTTGTCCGCCATTTTTCCCCCCTTTTCCAGCGGGTGCCTTACCTCCCTTGGGCTGGGCCAGCTGGTGGTTGGCCTGCTCCGTCTCTGCCGCTTGCCAGCTACGCCTCGGCCGGCGCAGGGGGCGGAACCACGCATGCGCGGCACTCCCGGGCAGGGAAAGTCCTCGACTTACGACCAGTTGGGTAGTCCTCGACTTACGACTGGTTTAGTCCTCGACTTACGACCGGTTTAGTCCTCGACTTACGACCGGTTGGGGTCGCGGCATTAAAAAGGTTGAGAACCACTGGTTTAAGCAGCCAAGAAACAACAGAACTTTAAAAAGCTGCTTTGCTTACAGATGCCTTCTTTAATGTCTCTAGGATAATAACACATTACTCCGTTCCCCAATCTAGAGAGTGCAGTTTTCATTCTACAGTATGACCCTTGAAGCCTTCAGTTATAACAGAAGCACTAGTGAAATTCAGTCATAACCTTTTATCAAGGGCAAGTGTTACACTGTATATATATAGGGGCGTGTTTCCTTTGTGTAGACTTTCTTTTGACTATTATATTTTATTTCATAAAATAAATTATATTTTATTGCTTTTATTGAGCAAAACAAAAACAGTAGTGATGGTGATACTGTACATTGTCAAAGAGAAGGACTTAAAAGTTAATAAAGTGTTTTAACAAAAAAGTGAAAAAATATGGCAAAGAAAATATAAAATAATTATAATTTTAATATATATTTGTCTAATGCAAATTTGTCTTAACACAGATCTTACTGAAGTATGTATAATTTCTGTGCGTTTACATACGGTCTTTTTTTAACCTACTGTATTCTGTAGGAATAGGTCTCATATTTCATTATATTTGTTTATGAAAGTGAATTGCAGTATTGGAAAGATGAACGTATGACTCCATTTAGTCAATGGATTGAACACCTGATTGCACCTATGAAGCTACAGACATAAACATAGGCAACCTATTGACTTTAAAAAGCAGCCGTTAGGCTTATAGAAGATATGCAATTCAGGCATTTGAAAGCATTTTCTTAATTTGTAACGGACCTTTTTCAAAGATCTGCGTAGTGCCTAGAGAGTTGAGGATTTCTGAAATACTCTTAGACAGTTTCCATGGAACCATACATTTTAAGCAAAATCTTATGGTGCAAATCTGATGAGACATCATAATAATAATAATAATAATAATAATAATAATAATAATAATAATAATAATAATAATAATAATAATAATAATAATAATAATAATAATAATAATAATAATAAAGTTGGAAGGAACCTTGGAGGTCATCTAGTCCAACCTCCAGCTTCTGGAGGCAGGTTGTTCCACTGGTTAATTGTTCTAACTGTCAGGAAGTTTCTCCTTAATTCTAGGTTGCTTCTCTCCTTGATTAGTTTCCATCCGTTGCTTCTTGTCCTGCCTTCAGGCGCTTTGGAGAATAGCTTGATTCCCTCTTCTTTGTGGCTTGACTCCCTCTTCTTCAACATATTGTCACATTAAATTCCCAAAAGTTCATGATTGTTTTTTACAAAATAACAATGCAGAATAACTTCCACCTATTTATTTGAATAGTCGCGGGCAAGTATGTCGCGGGCAAGACATACCTAATTGAAAATTCATTACCGTTCCTAAAATGCCTTGAATTTGGATTTAAGAGGTCACCTTGGATAAATGGACAGTATATACAAGCATACGAATCACTAATAAATGGTCCCAATAGCATAGTCAGAAGAATGTACCCCATCTTGATTACTGTATTGATGACACTGGAGAGTGTTCCTGCCTTTATATTTTATCACAGTATTAGTTTTCTCTGTTGATGGAATTTGTCATGAGATTGATAGTTGGTTAAAAGTCCATTCTTAAATACAGAAGAAAAAAGAGAGCTGAATAATAATTGTTCCCAAGAAAATAATTATATAACCCTTGCATTGTGATGCTGACTGAGGAAATTGTTATCATCTGTCTTTCTTGCTGCATTTGGAAACAATTTGGAATTTAAATAGAAATGATTTGCTAGATTTGCAAAATATACTCATGCTTCTATGCTTTCAGTATCAAATGAAGTTTTTAAAGGATGGACAGAAAAGGATTTTGGAAACATTGTGGCTCTATTTAGGTAACAGGTCAACAGGAAACTTACCAACAGTTTAGTGTTATCTGAAGTGACAAATTATGGGTTATACAGTTCGTTAAAACTGAATTGGAAACCATGGATTTAAAGTAAACTTTCAAAACTACAGCTTGTGCTGACTCTATGATAGTTGATAGATTGTAATTATGCCTATTGCTTGACTAACAAATTACGTGCAAAGATTAGTTTGTTGAGTGAATAGGCAGCTTTAAATTATTGCTTGTCTTAATGGTGCTGATATTATATGAGGTTCAACATGATTTGCTGTCATTCTAGGATCCAGCGGTAAATGACTCTTGGAATTCTTCACACTGCTGTAATTTTTCTAATTGTGTTTCTGTGTCATGTAAAAAATGCTGAATACAAATACTTCCCATAGATGCCCACCATAATCTTCCCATCTATTTAGAAAATGTATATAGTCACTCACCTGAGACAAATAATTCTGGGCAGTAACAGTATAAACAATATAAAACAGAATGAAAAATATAATTAATAGCAAACATAATAGATACAAGAACTGAAGTATCTCACAAAAAACTGACAATCCCAAATGTGTTTCAGCTTCTGCCAACAACTCAGCCCTAATGTCTAAGAGAATCGGTAGGTTTTCATAGCCTTCTGGAAGGCCAACAGAGTCAGAGCCATCCGGATCTCAGGAGGAAGGCTGTTCTTTAGAGTGGGCACCATGATAAGGAAGGCATATTTCCTGGATCCAACAGGATTGCATTGTTTCATTGAGGTGACCCGAGCATGCCTACCCCATAAGATCTGGTGGGGTGAATAGAAGTTACTGGCGACAGGCGATTCCACAAAATAATTTCTGTGCTTTATAGAGCTTTTAACAGTTGATAACCAACATCTTGAATGACATCTGGAAGCCTACTGGAAACCAATGCAGCTTGTGTTGGGTGAAACTAGGTGCACTGCTGCATTCTGGACCGAACAAAGCTGCCATCTGTATTCCAGGGAGCCCCATTTACAGAGTGCTGCAGTAATCCATATTGAAAGTGGCTCATCTATCTATGAATTGTTTAAAAGAAATTGTGTAGCCTTCTGGATTGTACCAAACTCATGACTTCTCATGTTAAACCGTGCTGTTCAGTGCAACTTGAAAGTGCATCACAAAGCACATGGATTGGTATGTGTTTTATACAAATGACATTTTAGAGGAATACATTTGGATACATTTGGAACTTGTTCATGCTAACCATTAATAGCAGTTTAAATATTGTTCAACATCTCTCTCCCGGTATAACAGTTCTTTGTTCTATAATTGCTTGATTCAGCTCAGCATGCTGTCATAATGCTAATGGAAAAATCTTAGTGATTTTTTTTATGGCTGTCTTTATTTACAAAGCAGGTCCTTCAGAAACTTCGGCGATTGATGAGAAAATCGCCCTGGCAAAGTCTTACACAGGTATAGCAATTCACTTGTTCATTATCATGGTACTATTTCTCACAACATTAATGCCACAGTATCATATCCTGCTTGCCAGGAACACTGTTCATCTAAATTTGGTTTCAGATCCATGGCCTGAATTATATTGACCAGTGATTTCTCCTCCTTATTACTTTTCTATTTTGGTTTCATTCAGAAACTTTGTTTCTGCTTAGAGCTGCTGATTCTTCCTTTTTCCATCTGTGGGGAATAGAGACAATACTTTATCTTCCCACCAAGAGGCCTTTTTAAATTACCTTTTTTTGCACACTTTTCTGTTTTCCATATTTTCTAACCCTTCATATTGGCAAATTAGGAGGGTTAGCAATTCAGTAATACAAAGGAAATCTATTAAATACAACGGGAAAATGTGTGCATTTTCCCAGCTATACACTTTCATCCATTCCCCAATTCTTTTTAAAATGTATACTACCTGGATTATGTGAAGAGACCTCTTCCAAATTATTGATGACCTAAATACTGTACTTTTGGATTTTTGTTTTGAATTGACTTTTCCCATAGATTTCTATTTGCAGTGATCCTGCTGGAGGCTGGGTGCCAATGTGCCATAAAACCTGTACTCAGCCTATTTAAGATACTAATTCTGAAATTTCAAGTGTTGATTAGCATCCTCCACTTTTTTATGATGGTATGTTTATATTTGTCTAAAGGGAGCAACCAGGGTTCCGATTGCAGTGAAGGAACAGATGTGGAATTGCCAGTAGAAGGTTAGAAATATGTAAATTTTAAAAAATAAACTCTGGTAAGGTATTTCAAAAATTAAAAGAGCACAGTGCAAACATATCCATTGTGTCTGTGTCTTGCATTCTTTTTTCATATTCCACATGGTTGTGTATTTATTTTTCTCCCCTTGAATTGTGATCCTGCATGTTTATTGTGGAAAGCTATTGAGAAATATTTTCAATATAATCCCCCTTTCCCTTTCCCCCTTCTTGCATCTTCCAGTAAACTATACAAGCTATTTGGAAAAAGTTGATAGTTGGTTTCCTCCATCCAATTTGTCTTCTCCATCAACTTTGGTGGATTTTCTTTATCTTTCTCATACTGAGTGGGCAATAGTGCTGCTATACAACAGAAGATCTTGAAAGCATGAAGGCAATATATGTAATTTTTTTTAAAGATGGTAATGGAAAATTAGATATATGTTTGTAATTAATTTATAATTATAATTAAATTTTATGATTAGGCCTGTCTTATTGCCTAATTCAATTATTTCAATATTTGGAACTAGCAGTGCAAGATTTAGTGCAATGGGATGGGAAGAGAAGTGTAAAAAGTTATTTAGTTGTATGATGCTTGTTAATACGAATTTTATTGAACAGATTTTCTCTTTCAAATGTAAAGACCTTGCCTCTGAAAAGGGATTGCTGCTGTTGCTACTAAGAATGTGACTGGTGCTTGCCAAAGCATATATTAACTCTCCAGTTGGTTTCAGTGCCATAATATTAAGGATTCTTAACTTGTTTAATAAAAGCTGAATTGGTGGGCTACAAATTGTAGCTCATAGTACATTTCTATTATGAAATATTTTTTGAATCAACATACTGGTGAACAGTTTTATGAAGCATTAATTTAGCAACAGCATGTCATTTGATTTAATTCCCTGTTCAAATTTTAAGATTATATTAAATTGTCATATCGCTCTGATTCCTGAGCATTTTTCATGCATTGTAAAATAGAATCTGAAAGTAATACTGTTTTGGGCAGATCCCAAGGTAATGTTACTGACTAAGCCAGGATTTACCGTATATCTATTAATGTATTTATTTTAAATACATTAAAATATTCTGTTCCTTTAGGGTTCTGTTGCTTATTTTAATGGAGTGAATCTGAAAAACTGATTTTTTTTGTTTGATTAGAATCTGAAGAGGAAAACTCGGCAGGTGTAAAAGGCTAACATCAACGTTTGTATTAAAAACAGTAGACTTAAGTTAGTAGTTGAAGTAGCTTAATACCGTGTTTCCCCAAAAATAAGACCAGGTCTTTTTTCTTTTTTCTTTTGCTTCCAAAAGAGGCCCCAGGTCTTATTTTTGGGGATGTCTTTTATATTCACCTCCGGTACCAACAGCCCTGCTCAGCCGGTTCACTTCTTCTGTGGCAGAAGGAGCAGCTCCATTCTGCAGCTGCATTCCGCCCTGCATTTCCAGAAGGCCTCTGCAGCCGAGTACTGAGCTAATCCATAGCTCGATTCTCGGCTGCAGTGACCTTCCGGAAAGGCCTGTGACTGAGAAATGCAGGCCTTGGTGCAGAAGACGCCGCAGAAGAAGTGGGCCGGCGAGGAGAGGCCTGGTTGCAAGGTAAGTGGATATGGGGCAGCTCCACACCCCCACCCCCGCTTGATTTTTAAGTTTGTGCCTTGCCCCAAAACTAAGGCTTATTTTGGGGGTAGGACTTATATTAGCCCCCCCCCCCAAAAAAAATCAAGCTTGGGCTTATTTTTGGGGTAGGCTTTACTTTCGGGAAAACATGGTAGAAACTTTTTAGAAAGCCTTTGGGGATATGTATAGGCTATTAAGGGATCCTCAATTCTGTATGGTGTAAAATGGCATATTATTGTTTCAACATAGAATCTTTTCTATGTCTTTTGTTGGCAACCCGTTTATTCTGTGTAGATCACTTACCTGTCAGTATAAAATTTTGAATCTGTTTGGACCATACTTCATTTAAAAAAATGAATGACTTGCTCTCCCTTCTTTCTCTGATTCAGATTAAAGAGGAATTCAGGAGTTTGTTTTTGTTCTTAAACAGAGATGGGTCTGTTTTCCATACTGATTAATCTTTACTGTGGTTTATTTGAAAGATATGAATTTCAACCTTTGTTCTGTAATGTTGGCTTGGTTCAACATGCCTAATAGCAATAGCACTTATACTTATATACCACTTCAGAGTGCTTCATACAGCCCTTTCTAAGTGGTTAACAGAGTCAGCATATTGCCCCCAATAATCTGGGTCCTCATTTTACTGACCTTGGAAGGATGGAAGGCTGAGTCAACCTTGAGCCAGTGAGGATTGAGCTGCTGTCAGTCAGCAGAATTAGCCTGCTATACTGCATTATAACCACCACAGCTCTTAAGTTTTTGAGTTTAAAATTGGAAAAACTTACTCTAGATTGTGTGACTATATAGAGGAGAACTCCACACTGTGCTTCATCCCCATGTGTAAGCAGTAGTTCACTATTATATCCAAATATACTGCATATTGATATGATGACATTTTCAAAGTGGAAATCCTGCACAACATGTTTCCTGAGATGTCTTGTGGTAGGCAAGAATGTGAAGTCTTAACTTCAGAAGGAGACATGTGATAAGGAAACTACAACCTAAGGTTCTGCAATTCCTAAACTGGAATGGAAAGCTGAATTCAAATCCTTCTACTGTCTACCATGGAACCATCCATTTATAGACTGCTTTCTGATGCTCCTTGAAACAAGTGACTTATTAGAACATTATGCATATATAACTGTTTAATAAGGTTTGATTTGCTAGGACGTTGAAAAAAGTCAACCTCTAATATGGCCTTGACAATTCCATGAACTCTTTACTAACTAGTCTTCCTACTCACATGCGCCAATACTAGATATTATATTAAATTGATTATCTGAGTTAGTTATTAATTCAAAACATATTTTCAGTACCTTATTCTTATATGCCTGGAATTTACCAGACTATACCTGCTTTGCTCTCCCAGATTTTCATTAACTCAATTGTTACATTTCTATATGCATATTTCTAATCGACCCTGAAGACAATATAAGAATATTAAATTATATTGTTAGAAATCTCCTTTGGAGAATAATCTAACCTCTTCCTAAAGTGCATTTTTGCATTACAATTTTGATATTTTTTTCATTTCTGCCAAAGAACAGTGAGCTTGGTTAAACATGTTTTTGAATCAATTTTTCCCTTATTTCAATTACCAGTACCAGGCTGTGGCATGCCAGCAACCAGTCCGGACAAACATGGAAAGCCCCATCCACAGGATGCAGGCAGCACAGAAAACCACACTCCCTCCGGTCCATAGAAAAACCTCTCCACATAATCGGTCTCTGGTGCCCAAAAGGTTGGAGACCTGGACTAGGAGACAAATTTTATTATCTACCCTTTTTCATATTTATTGGAACTTACATTTTCTAATAAAGATGGGTGCTTTAACATGTAATATGCAAGTAGTCCTCAACTTAAGATCACAGTTGGGACTGGAACTTATGTTGCTAAGCAAGATGGTCATTAACTGAATCGTGTCCAATTTTATGATTTTTTTACTGTGATGATTAAGCAGATTTCATAGTTATTAAGCAAATCTGACTCTCCCCATTAACGTCGCTTGTTGTAAACTGCCTGGGAAGGTAGCAAAGGGTGAACAGGTGACAATGGTGAAAATATAACTGTTGAAAAACTGGTCCAAGCATGCCACTTCTGAAACAAGTGAGGATCCTGAAGTAGAAGTGACTATTGAAGGTTGGCCATTTTTTTCAACTAAACTGGTCCAGTGCATGGATAGAGCCAATTGTAGTTTGAAAACATCAGCTCTTTCAAGCAGACTAGGTCAAGAAATGCTGGAATTCTACCTTACTGATATAGGCTGCCTTGACGAGCTGACTGGAAAGAAAGCAATATAATGAAAATAGTAGAGTCCATTATCCTTGTTATAACCCCCTTTTCTGAGCCTTTTGACTGTTAGAAAGAGCTATTCATTTGGATTTGATATGTTTTCTGACTTTAGCACTGGGAATAGGAAAGAAAATAAGAATGGTGTCTTTTCAGAATAATGTCTCATGTGGACATACTATATTATATCACTACTTCATGATACTTCCATTATATAAAATGTTACTGTTGATAATTGATGACTTCAGTGTGGGGAAAAAAGGTGAATCACTCAGTAGGTTTGGACAGCTATAGAATACACTTGAACTGAAGAAAATACTATTTGCAGTTACAGTTCTAATCTTTAGACAACAGTTGTGTTAACATACATTTTTAGAAATATTATTATAATCATTCTCATTTGTTTGCATCATTGTAATTGTCTTGTGTGAGAATTTGTGAATTTCCTGTATTCATTTTGAAAATGTTTGACAACAAAGATTCAAATGAATCTAGAAAAAGACTACTCTAAATAACCTTACTACTTAAACATCCACACTTTTCTATTATCATTTCATAGATTTTAAATCTTGTGATAAACTACTTTGGCTTATATGTTATGGGTCTGCTTTATTCATAGTGTACAAGATATATGTTGACTTGCCCCTGTCGAGTAAAATCAGTCTTAAACAGTGTGTCTGCGCCGTTCAGATTTGGTTTTTTGTTCTGCTTTTTTCAGATTCTTCTCAGCATGCCACTTCTGAAACAAGTGAGGATCCTGAAGTGGAAGTGACCATTGAAGGTTGGCCATTTTCTCAACTAATTTTATTTTGCTCACTTGTTTCAGAAGAATCTCAATCATGTGGCATTGTGTACATCACTTCTATCCTTCCCCCCCCCAAACCCTTCCCATTCCATAAGATAAATTGTGTTTGGCAAGCTAGTCTTTTGTAAATGCTGAATTTGAATCATCCATGTTTTCTAGAGCAGTTGATGTCAGAAGTGCAAAAAACTGGGGGAGGGGGGCACTCAATTTGATATTGCTGCTTATCAGAAAGAAGCAGTTTAAGCAGGTACTGTTTCAACTGAGGACATTTCATTGGGCAATGATTAATGCCATGGAAATTCTCCAGAGTATTTGAGAAAGATCCACTCATTTATGATCTAGTAAAACCAAAAGACCTGTTTGCCTGTAATGTCCCACGTCATTTTGGTCTTGCTGAAGTTTTGTAAGATTTGAGGCAGATGAAACAAAGTGTTCACTTGAGAATTTCAAATGGTAGATTTGGGAAGTAGAGAATACCTTGTGAAGTTGACTACCTAATGTCTAAGGTCTGGTAATGTACTTCAGAGCAAAGTCTTCTCAAATCTATTTTTTCCTGCACTTCTCTCCACCCATCTGTTGCCTGTAATAAATTGCTATTTTAAAAACTACATGAATCTCATAAAAGAAAGAAAAGTGAGATGAAAAAAGTTGAAGAACTGAAAGGGAGTGCAGATTTTGCATTTCCCCTGTAATAACTACTGTGCTAAGAAACTGTGAATTTAGTAACAAGGTTGGTTGAATTCTGATAAGAATGTTTAAATGATGTATGACTCGATCGGTCCTAGTTATTTGGATATCTCCAGATGAGAAATAGGAAAATAAGAGATATTTCTGCATGTGAAGAGTACAATGTTGACAGCTTTTCCTGCATGAAAAACAAAAGCATCACGTTCTGTAATGTAGTGTCAGATTTTGTAAATAAACTTAATAAGAATAATTCTCTCCTTTTACTGATACACTGTGTTATTTTATTTACTCTAAGTCATAAATTTGAAGAGTATGACATTGTAGAAATAGCATCTCCAAACATACTTACAATGCATTTTTTTTCCTGTTTGTATTTGTTTTATTTCCAGTAATGGCAAAAGTCAGTCCATTAATTTTTCAAAAAGTATTCATGAATGCTAGTATATCTCTAGTCTTTATTTGCTAACAACCGACTCACACTGGAGCGAGCATCTGTTTATTTTACTTTGAGCAGCTATTGGATTGAACTGGAGGGCTAATGAGGGTTATGTGGGGGGAGAAAGGTGGAACAAAACTACAAGGGGTATTCCTGTTTATGCATGTGTATGTTTGTATCAGACATCTTTTCTCTTACCTCATAACCTTTAGGTTGATAATTGCATCCTTGAATATATAATTTAACATGCTTCTTATCATAAATAAGTTTTTCCTTTTAAATGTTTTGGCAGACATTATTGATTTCTCTCTGTTTAAAATGCAAGCTTATTCACATTTATTAGACTGCTAGTGAAATTTTGCACATCTATTCTTGTACATTTCAGTGTTTATTCATTTATTGCTGGAATTAGAATCCAATTATCTCTTGTCCCACCATCTACCAATATATTTATTTGGTGTTATTCTGAGAGAAGTTTTTATCCTCTAACTTTATGATATTTTCATTTCCAAGTCATTTAATCTCATGTGGTATCTTTTATATTTGTTTGGAACTCCAAACCAAATGGGGTAGGATAAGACCTTGTTGACAGTAAGATGGGAGTGCAAATTCTAATCCTACTGACATAATTTGAGTTTCAAGTGGAAAAATTAAATCCTAGAATTGGCAAGGAAAGAATTGATAAGCGAATCCTTATTTTGGAATAGTTCAAATCATGATTTTTAAAGACAGTGAGATAATGTCAAGTAACAGCTGTGATGCATATGTTTGTCTCTCTGAAGATGATGATGACTACTTACCACCACATAAGAAGACAAAAAGCATAGAGCCAGTTAATGATGCTTCCAATGTTGGGAGAAGAAAAGCTAGAGAGTTCAATTTTGGTAAGTTTTAGACGAAATTATTATAAATCTTTCATTTGTGAAGCAGTTCTAGTTTGGATCTATCCACTGAGAAAGTTTAAACGAGGTTAACTAAGAAATGTCCCTCACAAGACCTGTTGTGCTACATCAGGGGTAGTCAACCTTGGCTCTTTTATGACTTGTGGACTTCAACTCCCAGAATTCCTGAGCCAGCTAAGCTGGCTCAGGAATTCTGGAAATTGAAGTCCACGAGTCATAAAAGAGCCAAGGTTGACTACCCCTGTGCTACATCATTGTGGCAGGATGGTATCCCTGGGAGGGGTGAGCAAATAAAGGTAGGAGTATATGCCAAGAGTATATATGTAGAAATCCAGGAAATGGTATTGAAGCAAATAATCAGAAAACGATATTTAAACAAAAAATACAGACATGTTTATTAAGCTCTGAGAATGAAGTTAGTATTAAGAGGAAACTAGGCTTTTTTCCTTTTTGTCTCATTGCGGCATAAGAGGAAAGGAGAAGCCCAATTAGATTTGCAAGATTGTATTATAACCTACCTCAATATATTTCTGCTTTTTCCTGTGGAATGTGGTTCCTGATCTGGTCTACCCCAAAGACATGACTATATAATACAGGTAGTCCTTGATTTAGGACCACAATTGAGCCCAACATCTCTGTTGTTAAATGAGACATTTGTTAAGAGTTTTGCTCCATTTTACAACTTTTCTTGCCTCAGTTGTTAAGTGAATTGCTGCAGTTGATCCGTTAATAATCCAATAAATAATCCAGTTGTTAAGTGAATGTGGCTTCTCCATTGACTTTGCTTGTCAGAAGGTCGCAAAAGGTGATCACATGATCTTGGGACACAGCAGCGGTCATAAATATGAGTCAGTTGCCAAGCATCTGAATTTTGTTCACGTGTCCATGGGGATGCTGGAAAGGTCACTGTGAAAAATGATCATAAGCCATTTTTTTCAGTGCCGTTGTAACTTTGAACGGTTTGAACTAAACAAACTGTTGTAAGTCAAGGATTACCTGTATACGGAGAGTCACACAAGGCATAAACGTCATCACAATTCCCCAGCTAAAGCAAGCAGGCACCTGTGTTGTGCAATAGTGATACAGGAAGATGGTAGAGGTGAAATATGACTTAGTGACAATGGCAAAGGGATTGTTGCACAAATTGCACAAGAGAAGGAAATGATAAACCAAGCTGTGAGGTAAAGCCAGAGTTAAGGAGGGAGAGGAAAAAGAGAGCAAGGTCAGACCTTCCCTAGCAAGTCACAGAGAATATCTATAAGTATTGCATATAATTGCTTTAGAAATTATATATAGAAAAAATGGTACCAAATATTCAGTATGGATTTGGAAAAGACAGAGGAAAATGAGACATTGCTGATACATACTAGATTATTCATAAAGCCAAAGAATAGTAAAAAGAAGTCAGTATGTGCATTATTTACAGGAAGATCCTTACTTATCAATCAAAACTGTGGAATATGCTTAGAAAAATGGGAATTCCAGAGTTCTGGGGGAAGTAAGGTGAACTGAAGAAGGCTTCATGAAAGCAGAGCCAATGCAAGAGATGGTGCCCATGCAGTGGGAGCTAGTATGATTGTCAGGGAGGATGCATCTGAGGTGCAGTGCAGGGAAGATGTGCGATGGAGGCTTGGGTAAGGTATGTGTGAGAGAACCATGTATGTCAAGTAGGTATGAGTGAGGGTGCTGCACAGGTTGAGTAGGGTGTGAGAGGCTCTGTGAGGCCTGGGGAGAGTTTCTGGGGGTAGTGAGTGCACTGGTCAAGGGATAGTGTGCAGAGGACCACAAGTGACAGACATAAGTCCAGAGGGGCTGGGGGAGTGTTCACAGAGTGGGGGAGTCTTCGGCCAGCAATGTGTGACCTCTCTGCTGGCTTCCCCATGGACTTTCTGGGGAAATTATAATAATAGTAATACTACTACTAATAATAAAGTTGGAAGAGACCTTGGAGGTCATCTATTCTAACCCCCTGCTCAGGCTGGAAACCCTATACCATTTCAGACAAATGGCTGTCCAGTCTCTTCTTAAAAATTTCCAGTGTTGGAGCATTCACCACTTCTGGAGGCAGGTTGTTCCACTGGTTAATTGTTCTAACTGTCAGGAAGTTTCTCCTTAGTTCTAAGTTGTTTCTCTCTTTGGTTAGTTTCCACCCGTTGCTTCTTGTCCTGCCTTCAGGCGCCTTGGAAAATAGCTTGACTCCCTCTTCTTTGTGGCAGCCCCTGAGATATTGGAACACTGCTATCATGTCCCCCCCCCTCGTCCTTCTCTTCGTTAAACTAGACATACCCAATTCCAGCAGCCTTTCCTTGTATGTTTTAGCCTCCAGTCCCCTAATCATCTTTGTTGCTCTGGCAGGAAAGATTGCAAATGATGATCATGTGATCGTAGGGCAGTTGCAACTTAGAATACTCGCTGACTGAATGGTTGTATGTCGAGGACTACCTGTACAGGCTGCAAAATGATGCAAAATCTTAAGACACAAAAACACTGAAGGAGACATTTGAAGAATGGAATCCAAAAATAGTAGCTACAATATCAGACCAGTGGTGAGAATGAATTAGAAAAAGATGTTTGACTGGACTTAGAAAAGAAACTGGCTGAGACTTTAAAATTTAAAAAGGAAATACCCAATGAGAAACCAAAAAAGTGATCTGGATAATTGGATTTACAAAAAAATCTTGTTAAAGCTTTGAAGAACTCTTGATGAGTCAAAGAAGAAACGAAGAGAAATGAAATGCTACAAGAATGACTGAAATACCTTGAAGTTTTCTGACACCTAAAAATCCAAGACAGTCATACTGGCCATGGAGAAAAAAGTATATATTTTGTAAAACTAAATATATTGCCTAGATATCTATTTTGAAGATTCAGAACGTTCATATGAGAGTAGATGTCATGATAGATGTAATCAAACTCTTCATAAGGCTTGTTTGAATTTGAATATCATTGGAAGTGTGATAGAAGGAGGACGAGGTAGTGATTTGACGTCAAATTACGAGGTAGTGATTTGACGTTTTATAGAACACATTAATGTGGCTGATAGTGTGGCGTTAAGCTAAGTGATCTTGGACTTGTTTCATATTTGTTATATAATTGGGGATAGCCTTAATCGTGATATGGAGATGGATTGATTCTAAATTAAGACAGAGTTTTATTTGTGCCTATCATTCAAAAATATAAGTTTGTATGTAAATACAGTACTTCCATAATTTAGAAGGTCTCTTTAATTTTGATGGAAATAAACTACTGACTCACTTGCTAAAGAGAAATAATTTTTGCTAAAGAGAAATAATTTTTGCTTTAAAAAAGTGATTGTTTCTCTGGGAGATAGATGAGAGAGAGAGAGATATTTACTTTCTATATTCACACATTAGCAACTAGATAGAATTAATACTTAGAATGAAATAAATTAGAAGGTTTGGCATATCCTCTATAGGGCTAAAATGTTGTTTTTTGCTTTCAGAGAAATGGAATGCCCGAATTACAGACTTGAGAAAGCAAGTTGAAAAGTTATTTGAAAGAAAATATGGTATGTGTCTTCCTCCCCTGCTCCCCAGTTGTCCAGTTATATTTGAATACTTCTAATAACTTTTTAAAAGTTTAACTTCTTTATGCCATAGTCTTTTGGTGTATTGTCCTGCCATTGTCCAAGAGCTGCCAGTGCCAAAGGGTGCTTATAGCTGTTTGGTTCTGCAGACTTAGAGAGATTGCAGTAGGTTTTAGTATTTACTGAAGGGCCTGCTGTTGGAAGTTCTGCAAGGTATTTTTTTTTTTTAGACTTGGCTTCCTAAAAATGCAAATCCTCTGCATGGAGTTCAAATACACTGCCAAGAAAAGCTGTAGCCTGGGACCTGCACAAAATAAAATGAAC